ACTAAAACACCATAATTCATAGTGCTATATGCCTATACTGGGTGATTGTTTTATCAAACAACACTCATTATTTCAAAAAGTGTAAATTTTTTTGAAAATATTTTTTTTATAGTTTCAAGTCGCTTATAAAACAACGTTTTTATTAAAAAATTATATTTTTAAATATTTTTTTATCCTTATAATTTTTTAAGTTTTTTACTTTTTTGAATAACAACATAGGGTTTTAATTTTATATTCCAAAGCAGAATATTTTTCTTAGTATTTTGATACATGAAAATCGAATTTGGGTTGAGTAGTTTATAAGTTATAAATTATCAAAGTTTGATGAGCGGTGAAGTGGACAAACAATATCCGCGGGGTAATCCCGAACCACTCCACTCTGCTCGTCTAAACTTTAAATACTTATAACTCGTAAACTACTCGCCTCAAATTCGATTTTAATGTTTCAAAATACTAAGAAAAATATTCTACTTTAGAATATAAAATTAAAACCCTATGTTGTCATTTAAAAAAGTAAAAAACATAAAAAATTATAAGGATAAAAAATATTTAAAAATATAATTTTTTTATAAAAACGTTGTTTTATAAGCGACTTGAAACTATGTAAAAAAATATTTTCAAAAAAATTTACACTTTTTGAAATAATGAGTGTTGTTAGATAAAAGAATCACCCAGTATTATTAAACTATCTTTTATTCAACATCATCATTCTTATTGTTTAAAATAATTTGAAATAAATATTAATTTATAATAATAGCAAAAATAATGGTAGATTATAATAATCACAACAGTAATTTTATTTTTTCGTTCTGTATTCAGTTTAGGTTTCATTTTCAATAAAAATTTTATTTTTATTTTTTAAAAATACTTACAGAAGCCCAAAGTTATTATATACATTGACCCTTTATGGTAACTTTTTAGTACATTTATATAATAATTAAAATGGACTAGGATAACAGCAGTTATAGAATAAAAATAATAAATTAAAAATCATAGTGATAAGTGATAACACAATAATATTAGTATGAATAAATTATGTAATAATAGTTAACCGTTCATAGTGACATCCAGTACTCAGTTACGTCATGTATAACATCCAGTATATCCTCATGAGTTTTATAATATCCAGATACTGTTTGAGTCATGTCAAGAAGTAATATTGCTGGGTTGTTTCTTATAACCTTTCATTTCTATAAAAATTATCAACTCTAACATTATGCATATTGTTAATAAATATTTTATAGTTTATAATGTTTATATATATTCAAAATAAATGTTAAAAAAAAATTGATAAAATAACATTCTTCAGTATCTTAATTCTTATTATAGGTACTATTGTTAATATAATACGTATTAGGTACTATTTAAATTTCCGAAGGATAAAGACAAAAGAGTAATGACTGTAGAGTTTAGATATTATTGAATAAAGCGATATAACTTATTTTCTGATTTTTTATAATAATTATTCCAAACTTGAAAAACGCAATTTCCAAACAATTCTCACACTAGAAGAATTTTTATTTAAATTACTGTATTTTATTTTCACAGCAGGGTTAGGGGATTTCCTTCTCAGAGATTTTTTAGCCAAAATTGTTGTTTAATCCACTTTTTAATACACAATATTCGTCTATACAATTTTAAATTTATCTTTTTGACTGTATTTTCATTTCATTGTATTTTGTATGTTTTCCAACCACACACAGATATAGTTACGCTCCGAACAAGATGCACTTGAACTAGAACTTTCAAGGTGAACCGGCACGGTGGCACCATGGTAACATACTATTATATTATTGTCTAGGTACTGCATTCACAAGTCATACCCACTGTTTTCTCAGTGCATTCTCCCGTACATCATACTTATTGTGTGGTATAATAAAATAATTCGTCAAAACACGGTACCGTAAAACTCGTTTTTGACAAGGGTGTAAGTGTTCAAAAATATTTTATTGAAAACTTTTATGATTTATAAATAACCACATGTCAAAAACGCACCGTCGCGTGCTTGACGAACAATATATACTATTTTTTTTTTTCTAAAAGTATCAATCTTTTGCCAATTGTACAGATTTTTCTAGTGATCGGAAACAAATTCTGAAAACATATTTGAATTCGTCATGAAGTTTACTTGAAAACGACTTTCTTACATTTTTAAATTGATTTTTTTAGTTTAATATTACTATTATTTTAAAATTCTAAAAATTCAAAATTTTGGATTAAAATTTGATGGGTTTAAGCGATCAATTTCAAAAAAGTTGAAAAGTCGTTTTCAAGTAAACTTCATGACGAATTCAAATACGTTTTCGGAATTTGTTTCCGATAATTAGAACAATCAGTACAGTTGGCAAAATATAGGTATATTTAGGTAGAAATCACAGCCGGGTGGAATCCCCTTAATATACCAAATACCTTCGTATTATAGTATTATTCCATTGATTAATTAATATTATACTGGTATGTTTAATCAATGATTATACATATGAATATTGCACTGCACTACTGCAGTGTTACTAAAACGAGTTGATTTCATCAATTGATAGGTATAGGTGATCCTCCACTGTTGTACAATAATATTATGGTATCTTGTTCAAAGCCATATAATAATATTATAGCAAAGAGAACATTTTTGGACTGTTATAGTCATTTGGCCAAATATGTATTTACTACTATGTAGCTATTTAAAAGTATAATAAATTTAAAATTATGATATTATTTCTCGTTCCGCATATTTTTTTTAACCATATTATGGGTGTACCTGCATTACCTAAATAAACAGTGTCCTCGTGTTACTCAAAATATGCAAACCTAAATACGCTAAAGCCTCCACCCCCTCCCATTAACCATATAATGATTAATATATTTTTTTTAGTTTTATATTTATTAAGTTTCAACTGTAATAAACTAGCAAGCAAGGACGTATATTCATATATTATGTCTTAAAGAATTAGCTGTAGGCTGTAGCCAACTGCAACATAAATAAAAAAGAAGAATTTGCACAAGTTGAAGTTATACCCACAACAATTTTCAAACATCTCACCTAAACGACTGAAATCATTAGACTGGACAAAAATTTAAATAAAATTCGATTTTATCATAAAAAGATTTTTTCAAGTACCTATATTTTTGTAGATATATTAATTTATGTTTCATATCAAACAGAATAATTAAGAATGCCAACTACTTTATTTTTTCAAATCTAATTTTCTGAGCTGTGATAACTGTGAGTGATTATTTGTAATCTTGGGTACGCCACTGGGTTTATCGATATAAATTCATAAGCATAAACTAAACATTGTAAAATGTAATTGTAGGTATACTGCAATATTATTATAATTTGTAGTGTACTACTATTATGTATAGGTACACCTCAACTATTATTATAGTATCGCCTGTCCTTCATCGAACTATATAGACATTGACCAACTAAAATACTGTCGGTAAAAAACTATTTTATTACCATTATTATCAACAGAAATTTGGCCTTGAAATTCTAAAAGTATTGTCACAATATCAAATTTGTACAATCGTTCGAAATAACGACATATTTTTCAAACTCGTAAAACTTTTACTCTTACCTATCTATAATATATTAATAATTAATATTATGTATTGATTCACTTGATAATAATAATTTGTCTCAACACGAATAACACTATATTTCATTCTATTGTTTAAGACGATTTTAATTTTTAATTTTCAAAATCTCCTTTCAAATGAACAAAGCCGTTAAACTATATGAGATAACGTGGCCATTACATTGTTGCAACTATTATACTCGTGTAGTCGTGTGTAATTTCATTATTTTACCAATACGTAAACTTTACCTATGGGTGATTGCGGTAAGTATAGTTTAGTATGGTTTGTTATTTTCTGACAAACAATACATGTGTTATGGTTCAATAGTGAATACAGATATAATATTTAAATAGGTATGAGTTAAGATTAAAACGTTACTCGTAACAACTAACGTTTGATTATTATTCGTTATAGTATATTGTTTTATGGAATTCATAAGAGAATTATTTGTTATGAGAAATAGCCAGACGTAGGTAACATATTATACAAATAAATAAATTATTAAAGTCAGTTAAATGCAAATTAATTCAATAAATTATGGTTAGTATATTAGTAAATTATCCTGGGTATAAGTCAGCTGGTAGTAAAATTAAAGGGCGTCACATTATTTTTCAATTTGATTTAAATATTATGTTTAGCTCCTAAAAAAAATAACGTCGGCTTGACACATACGTCATACGTTTAATATATTAATGACGTTTCTGCCAGGTACTTGACGTCCCAAAGTGATTTGTTAGTGCGTTCGAGGGGATTTCAGGATTACGAGGGATTTAGTATCGCATTATATATTATTATGATAATACACCGATTGACGCTTTTATTACTTGTGGAAAAAAAGTATTCAACAATGTTACTGAAGATCAACGGACAGTGACAGTTAAGTTTTTTTGTTGTTATTATGTTATTTAGTTAAGACTGCATAATATTATATGTGTCAATTAAAGTCTAACTCTATAAATAATACGCGATTTTGATTTAAAACAAACCTAAACAAATATAATTATCCACGTTTCAAAGGTTTTAAGTTCAAAAATACCCTTTGACTTATTGATGAATGTAATTATATTTTATTTGTATAACTGAATATTATTATATGAAACATTACTTCATAATGATGGCAGTATTCTGGTATTCATGACCAGTATCGTGTATTTCGTATTCATAACACAGTTCACAAAAAAAAAATTTAGTATAATAACTTAATTTAACTATAATCGTTTACTTATACAAATAAGGAGCATACACCTAAAAATTAAAAAAAGTACAACTTAACCACATGAAGACATGAAATTGACAAAAAAAATTGATGTACGTATTATTTAGAACAATAATAAAAAAATTAGTATAAAAAAATGCAATATATAATATAAAAAAAATTTAATTTAATTTAATTGATGTTTTAAATTTTTATTAATACAAAATAATCAGGACGAATTTATTTGATACGTTTTTGCTAGTGACTGACGGATTTCATCAGCATTCTTGTTGTTGGTTTCAGGTACGAAAAACAATATGAATAGATACCCGAAAACTGATATGACGGTGTAACCAAGCCACAAGGCCACGGGCCACTCGTCGACCAGCATGACAAACGTTTTCATCACTACAAACGACAATATCCATGAGTAGGAGACTATGCAAGACTGGGCGCGATTAGAGTGATCGGCTCCGATAAGCTCGGTGGTAATGAACCACGGTATCGGTCCCAACCCAAGCCTGAAGAACGAGATGAACGTGCATACTATGACTATCGGTAGTATTTTCAAGGAGTTCTCCAACATGCCTGCAAAAAGCGTCAAGACATTTTTAGTATAATTTTTTGATATTTAGGTCGCCTTAAGTATCCCAAGTCTACTTCCGTATATTGGTAAATGGTAGTATATAGACGTTGGGTTTGTACCACACACGGTTATTATCAATCGACTGAAATGTGCGTCGTAAAATCATACGACCATCATATACCATTAATCATTATGTTTTGATCGTATGAATGTATAGGGCCTGAATTTAAATGCAAAGTGCATCTTATTTTGGATGACCCAAGACAATGTTTTACAAGTACATGTATAGCCCTAGTGATGTATTATTATTGTATTCGAATTAATATTAAGATGACATATTATTAGTCATTGTTTGGAGGGGAAGAGGGAGTTTCCCAATATTATAATTGATCGTCCGATGTACTACTATATTAGTTACCACTCGTGAGTTATATTACACTTGAGTAATTAAGTAGGTATATAGTTACAAAACACGCGAGTTAAGAGTAACTAGTCACGATTTACAGTTCCATGGACCATGAATAATAATAATTACATCGTATTACCTATTATGTTATTCAATAATCAGTTACAAAATATAAAATCGTATGAATAATTAATTTTTTTCATTAATTTTAATAGTGAAATACGGATACCTATACGGAAGTATAAAAGGGCCAACTAATTAACACGATGACAAAATTACATCTCGTTCACTCAACATATGCTTTCGATTGAGTGATAACAAATTCTAGTTTGTACGACAAAACATATTTTTATAACGATAATATAATTGTCTTGTTGTCACTAGATAATTTCTCGTTTTCATGACAAAACGTTATTATCTTTATGGGCCTCGAAATGAAACACCGTGTACTTATAAAGGTGTAAATAAAATAAAAATTGTTGCTTTTTAGCGGACACATTTTATGTAGAGTCAAATTCAGAGCGAAGACAAGCATGTTGTCCAAAAGTCCACAAAGCTAATATTGACGACCGCGGACGTACATAACTTATATTTATGAAAGAGAGATCATCTAGCGCTAACAAGAAAATTTTGTCAATCAATCGAGAAGTTAATTTGTGAAAGATAGAAATTATCTAGTGACAACAAGAAAATTATAAGGTTTAAACTGTAATATAATGTTTTATCGTGCGATAATTTTTTCCTCTTGATAATCAGGGGGCCCTTTTACTCTTTCGTAAAAATAAAACAATTTTTCATCGAGCTAGAGCAATACACTAGAGCGTACAATGCGTCATACAACGTAAGGTATAGTACTTACCTTTGTTCAAGAAATAGAAGTACGTAGTCAACATGGCCAAGCACGCCACCACGACCGATGACGAGACGAGTAGAAGTCTTCGGCGGCCCACCCTGTCGATGAGGAAAATGGTGATGCCAGAACCGATCAGCTGGAAAACTCCGGTTATTATCGACGCCGTGTTTGGAGCCACCGACGACCCGGAAATGCAGAAAAGTTTCGCCGTGTACTGTATGATGGCTCCGGCACCGGACAACCTCTGCACGGTGGCCAAAAGTAACGACAGGACCACTGCTTTCACGAAAGCTCTCCTGGAACAACATTATGATTATAATATTGTCACGGAAGAACATATTTCAACCGAATCTATCGTACTTCCTTCCTGAGGATTGCGATTCCTTGTCGGCTGGAAGAACGTCGTCTTCGGTCTGCAGTTTCGCGTACTCGTCGAATGCCGTGGTAACGTCGAAGTCGTCTCCCTGCAGCCATCTGAATTACAATAACACACGTCATACAAAAATATTCATTGTTACCTGTGCATAATGTAATATTAAATAATAATATTGTACGGCGATTGTTTGAAAAACGTCTCTTGTACCGACTGTTTTTTTCCCAATACGATTTCATACCAAAACTGTCGGCAGTGTTTGAGACCTCTGAACGTACGCTTTCGAGTGGATATTGCCTACACTTAACCCCTTAAAAACAGTTGATGGTATTCTGCGAGCAACGCAATGCACATTACCTATCTACTGTATAGTTAAACAATCGTCAACAGTCAAAAAAAAAAGTCATACATCGACATCCGGGCATAAACTTCTATTTTACTTAAGCTTACACAGATGAAACTATAGAAACCCACCAACTAAGCTCTCCGCGAATCCAATTGACTTATATTAAGACTTGAAACCACGTGTGTCGTCGTCCACTCACCTATCGTCGGGAAGCGAATTCAAAGCCCAAACACAGTCTCTTCCACCCCCCTCCCACCTCCCCCTCCATCATCACCACCACAGTCATACTATAATTGCACGCTGCTATAATTATAAGGGTGGGTCATACCTGAGGGATGCTTTGGCGTCCAAGAAGCGCCCTCGGCTGTACAGGTACAGCGGCGATTCGGGCATGCGCCAGAAAAGGACGCAGAACACTAGTGGAAAGACGGCGCAGGTGAACGCGAACACGCGCAGGCCCAGTAGGGCGCTGGACACGTATGAGTACAGGATGCCCACGCACAGCATGAAGTCGAGGAACACGCCACCACGGCCGCGGCACACGTTTGGCGCCACGTCGTAGTTGTACAGTGGCACAGCCACCGTGACAGCACCCAGCGACAGTCCACACAGGAAACGTCCGACTAGAATCAAGGACACCTGCGACCAATCATGACAATCATATATATTGTTATTGTAACTTTCAAGAGCCTTTTACAAATAGTGTAATAATGAGTGAAAAGTCATAGAACCCTTGAACGGACAGACAGAAAATTACATAGTATTATGATCAATATATTTAAAAAAAAAAGGTACGAGAAACTGCCTCTTTTAGATTGTTGTATGTAGGAGGCTCTGTTATTTTGATTTTAATTTATTTTTAATTTAAATAGGTAAAAACATGTTAAACACAATCTGCGGAAAGCCTGTCAGGTCGGGAGGGCGCATCCAAGTGATGCTATTATTGTTGTACACATTTTTTTTTTTATTATTTCATTTTTTGCCAACAATAAACGATTTAGGTTAGAGCCGTTGGAGGAGAAGTATACCAACAGAAGTTCCTTCTCCGGCTCTCAATACCACTTAGAAAATAAAAGGTAATGCACTTGTTATTTATTAGTTATTACTATAATATAAAAGGTACAAATACAAAAACCAAACTATACGATGGTAATTTGATACTTGTTTAGTATTTATAAAAATACGTAAGCAACGTCAGTCAATAACGCGTATATACCTATATTAAATTGACATGAATTTATTATTGTATATCTCTTTAAAGCATGTAATTTAATCAAATGTAATTTCGTTTTAGATTTATTTTTATAGTTGCTGATCCAATGTCCAATTTTTTACAGCAATATATTATGCACTATTTTATTATAAACTTACGTGATTCACGAAGATCGTGATTAATAGCCATCCAAGCGTCATGGGAATTGCGAGCAACAGCAAGAACTTCTTGCGGCCGAAGGTCCGGGATAACTGTCCGGCCGGAAGTGCACCCAGGAGAGCACCAATCAGATAAATGGAAACGACCCATGACGATATATCCATGGTGTCCATCATGAACATCATCTCTCCAACGGATTCGGGATGCTGAGGGGCCGTCCAGCCACCAACCACGGTCCCCGAAGCAAACGACATCACGGAAGCTTTTGGTAATGAAAAAAAAGAAAACAAATCGAAGAAGAATATTAATAGTAATTTAAAATTGTAAACAATCTGATAAAATTATAATAATATATTGGTAGGTATATATTTCAATACGAAAACATCTAACTCTATACAATAAATCACGCATTAGTCGATGCGTTGCACATTTAAATTATATATAATATTTAATTTTTACCTTACTAAAAACATCTTTTAAGCTCAAACTTGTACAGTTTATTTAATTTCTTGAAATATGATGATTTGTATAGAATTGAAAATTGTGACATACTTATTTTATTATAGTAGGTAGTAGGTACCTAGTCAAAAATTAATATCCGTTTTTATGGCATTGTACTATAATTGTGTATTTGTGTGCTAATGAAATACATCGTTGGCTGTAAAAAATCAACTTAATTCAGATGTTTAAAAAAATTTAAAGAATTGTAAGGTAATTAAAAATGAATTTACTTAGGGTTGTATATTATTATTTATATACATTCAATGTTCATAAAATAGTAATAAATTGTTATTGGTTGCCATGTTGACCATCAATAACAAGTGTAAAATAAAAAGCGTCTTAAAGGGTCCATCAGTCAAAAGACGTGATTTGAATATCCCTATAGTAATGAAGAATCGTAACGATCTAATTATATTAATAATATTATAACTACCGATAAATTAGGCCCTAAATCCTAATAATGGTGAATCATAATATGTTAAAGTCACTTAAAAGTTACAACTTTCAGCTATACCTTAAGAACCGTTAAAGTCTTATAATATTGTTATTTGTTATTATAACCTTACCAAGAAAACTGGCCAATAGCGAACGACGGATCGGTGTTTTTTTCGACGAGAGCAGTGGCCGTTTTTCCATTTCACCGCTGTACGACGACTCGGACAACATTATTATGCACTGCTGAAGCTGTCACACTGATTTCAATTTACTAGAACGATGACATAATAATAAATGATGGTTTATGTTAAATTTCAACATAATAGATTGAATCACATTTTTGTTTCAAATTAGTATTATTCATTCGTTATAATTTAGAGATACACATATAATAATTACTAAACTCTAAATGTTATTAAACAGTTCCAAAGAACCGTAAGTTATTCTCGTGATCATAACATTTGTTTAATAATTTTTTCTTTACAATATTCTTAGTAAAAGTTAAAACATTAATATTATTATACTATTAATAATAAAACTTGCGAATTACTACAATTATTTATTCGATTCTCTATCCATAAGCCAAAAACACTTATCAGACTTTACTAAAATAAATAAATAATTTGATTAAACGAAATTAATTGAATATTGAATGTTTAGCTATTTCTTTAGTGATGATTCAACAAAAAAATTATTTGATTGTACAGTGAATAAAGTCTGTAGTATATAACAAACAGTTTAGATTAGTAAGATTTATAATGAAATATTAAGCAACATTGTCATTAAAATATTTTATAGAAATTAGAAGTGCAATGTTTTTAAATTAGTTTTAATATAAAACATATCATTAGTTAACATACATTTTTTTAGCTCATTTTACATGAAATGTATTAAATAGATAAATAATTTCTACTTTGATATATAATAAACATAATATTAGTATTGTGAGTTTAATAAACTCAGTTTATGGTATACAGAAAAAAGAGCATGACCTACTTATAGGTAATTATTAATCCTGAAAATGTCTTAATTTATTAAGTACTCAAATTAATAATTATCAAGTGTTTATAGTAAATTGTTGCAAAATCTATAGTGACTTGAGATATTATGTGATCAACTATTATAATATCCACACAAATAAATGTACAATTATTATTTTTACATTCTAAAATGATTTAAGCACTTGGAGAATTTTTGGACACTTCTTGCGTGCATTACCAGTAATTGTGATCAATATTGTAAAAGAAAAACGCAAAACCATTAAAAAAAAGTTCACACAATTTCAAAATAATGAAGCACTCCTTTCATATCGACATGACTAACAACAAGGTGTGTTGGACAGCATTACAGCAAATACATTTTCTTGGCATTTACTCATTATCAGCAATGTTAAGAGTCATATAAAATATAACATTATAATACATATACATTATTGATGTAATGTAAATGTAAATAAAATAAATAAATGTAATAGTAATTAGTAGGTCATTATATCATGCAGTTAATAATACTATATATAGGTCTAATTTGTTTTACCAGGTTTTTAATAAAAATAAAATAATGCACACTACTACGATCATAGGAAGTTTAATACCTAAGAAAACTTACGAACCCCCAAAATATTATTTTCTATTAATTTCTGTACACAATATGGTGTAATACTTAGCACTTGCATAACTATATATAAATATTATATGACATAGGTGTTAGGTACCTATTACCTATACCTAGTGAAAAAAAACCGAGAATGATAAATTTACATATTTTAAGTCATTGAATATCATTATCTGGTTTTATATCAACCTTGGATAAGTCGTTCAAAAGAAGTAAAATATAATTAAATCGTTCACTGTGATCGAACTATCTTCAGGTTTTATACCAAACACTAAACCCACGCGTGAAATAAACCATTACCAAAGTGTATTTTTAAATAAATAAAATACGAGCGGCTCATTTTTTAACAATAATTGTACATTATGTACACAGTTATAACGTTAAACTCTTTGTTATGTAACCATATTTTACCATACCACATGTACGTGTACCTATATAACTAATTTAAAAAAAAAACGTATTTATGTATAGCCGTGTTGGCGGGTTGAATTAAAAAAATAGGTATTTATTCATAATATTATAATGTATGTAAATATGTAATATTATTATTAGGTATACGTAACTAGAAACAATAGTCCATTCCTAGACCAGTCAAAACAAAGAAACCCAGAACGCCATAAACAAAAATAGTACCTAATGTATATTATTTACTATTTAGGTTTATTTAAGCATATTATTATGAACAATTTAGCAAATTATTAAATATAGGTAGGTTAACAGACATTTATATTATTATTTATTTAATTAGGTACTTTATTCTGAACTGTACATAATTTACACATAATTACTATTATTATCTTCTTATTGTATAAGCACCATTAATATTATTTTATCGTGTTAAAATAGTCAAAACCCAAAGCTGTACATAATATATCCATACATGTAGATAGCATAGGAACATCTTATAATAAAATTAATAAAAAAAAATATAGGTATGGGTTAATAACACATATAGATACAACAAATAACCAATTTATTATATTTCAGGTAGGTAGGTACTGCAAATAGTATATTATAATATAATATGAAATCATGATTTATATATAATCATTGACTCTGACTGGAGGTGAAATAATGAATAAATCCTCCATTAAAACCGAAAGGTAACAGATTTCAATTCATATGATATTATAATATCATACGATAAATGCATAATTCAATCAATCATTAAAAAATTGTACCTTATAGTTTACACTTCAATATTATAACGTAGTAGCCGGTACCTACCTACCTTTATTACATGCAAAAAGGACGTCGGTAATACGATAGGTATTACGAGATAATTTAAGTTCCAAACTCGATACGAAACTCAGTGGCAATGGCTGATATCGTCGAACCGTGTGACTGCGATTAGTTACAATGCCTACGTATAATCACTGATATATTATTATTATTATAAAACATTCTTAACGGTTTATAATATTATTATTGTTGTGGACATGTTTTTACTCACAAAACTTTAACAACCGTTCACGTTGCGACCACATTCACTAGACCAGCGATAATATTATGCAGCGGTGAAAAGCTCGACTGTAATTCGATATCATTATTAATTCCGACCGTCTCCAAACATTGCGGTTAAGACGATTTTTTCTGAACAGACAGAATCCGTCTTTGCAGTAGGACCGCGTACACGCTACAGGCACATAACCTACAATATTATGATATAATATTGCAATGGGTGTGTAATGCGTACAGGCGGAGGTGGTTATGTACGTTTCCACTTTTTCAGCGGATGTTTCAATAACCGGTTTAGAGACGAGACGAGACGTAAGTAATATTTGGCCCCGAGTTTTCCGTGAAAGGCGTACTATGCTCTGTGCAGAGCTGGTAGACACGTCCGTAGCCAGAGATGCCAGTTCGAACACAAAACTTTAAACCCGAATAATAATAAATTAATATTGAAAACGTTGTCGATAAATGCGTGTCCTGAGAACATAACGTTTAAAATTCCGTGGATCTACAAGGTGTAACAGAAAGACTCGACGAATAAAAAAAATGATGCTAATGTCTACGTATGACAACAATTGTTAAAATAATTATACGATTAGTAAATAATTTAAAAAATATACTCATGTCAGAAAATTCCCGAAAAAAATATTTTGAAAAAAGTTATCACGTTCCAAATTCATTTAATCAAAAGAATATTGATATTTTAAAAAATTCTAAGAAATAAACTACTAAATTGACTTAGATAAATGTTTTTAAAATCAAAATTGTTCTTATAATCATATTTATAAATTGGCTATTTAGAATATATCCAAAAAAATTTAAATCAAATTTAAAATTTTTTATTTTCAGCGTTAAAAAATAAAAATAATAAATGTGTAGCAGCACAAGTGACTACATACATTATAAATTATAAATATAATTAAATATAATTCTAATCAATATTTAAAATATTTTTTATTTATTTATTGATTAAAACAAAAGTTATTCCAAAAATCAGTTACATCTGTTACACCCTGTACCTATACAAGTACCTATACGGCTATACCTACTATATATAGGCATATGTATATAATATTATACCGGCCTATATGTCTATATGACTAATATTAGTTTAATTTATTCATTCGTCTTTCCGTCGATATACGCTAATCCACAAATCTGATAATTTTTATTATTATATACCTACCTGTTAACTTATATAGATAATAATAATAATATATATTATTGATTCACCATATTAATAAGGGGCTTTCAAGTGTCCTGTTTTTTTTTTCATCAAAAACCCGCCTTACAAGCATACAAATAGGATTAAAATTCTATGGAGGGGGAGGGCTAACAAAACTATTTATTTAAAATAACTATCAGGATGCTTATATCTACATCAATAAGGGATATTTTTTTTTGTTGGAGGGCTAAATCTTAGTCAGGGGGTTAAGCCAAGTATGATCACTCCCATTTTAGATTATGAACCAAACAAAGAATGTATATTGATCATGCCATAATATGTGATATTTTTTATTGTGTCTGAAAAACTTTTTATGATGGAAAGAATGCTTTGATTTTTAATTTCAGCTTTTCTGGTAGTTCAAAAGTAAAAATTCCGAGTACTTTTTTAAATAATTGGGAAAAACAACAAAAAAAAAAAAAATATAAAAAACGGGAATGTTTACCAGTGTTTAGAAAAATCGATTTTCTTATTTTGCTTTAAATAATTAATAAAATAATAACCATATAATATTTGAAATTTTCATAAAATGCTTATAATAGTATTTTATATTCATGTTATAATTTTAATAATGTTTTGATTCTTTATTTGAGCTATTTGTAAACGGTTTAGATTTTTTTTCTAATATATCGATATAAAAATATCTGTAGGTCAAAAAGGTTGACAATTTAGTATTTTAATGCATTCTATATTGTAAGAAAACTCTAACTCAGTGACTCTGTATAAAAAAAATACCTGCTATATGGTTAGTTAAGCTTTTTGAAAAAATAAACTATGTTTGGTAATATTTCTATATATCAGTCAGACACATTGTTCAAATTTGTCGATTGTGCAAAAAGTATTTTACGACAAGAAACAGGAAGTTCTGATTAATGACAAAGTGTTTCACTTACCAATTAATACAATTTAATACAATACATTTGTTAAAACAATAATATTATATCGTCCCGGTGCATCATGTTCAACTAAAAAAACAAAACAAAACAAAGTAAAGGAGAAAACTTTATGTGCAATATAAATAAATATTATAGTATAAAGTTAAAGAGGAAAGCAAAACAAAACTGTCTGAACGTAGTTACAAATATTATGTAACAGAACAATAATTTCTACTATCCAATCTAGCTTTTTATAATAATTGATAATTATTGTCACATTTTGCGATTACAGTAATAATTATAATCATATTAAATAGTAGTGTATAAAATGTATGGTCCTATAATAGTCTATATTATTTTAAATGTATACAGCATTAGCAGTAAGATACACAAATAAAATCGATTATTTGACTGCACAAGTACGGTAACCGAAATATGTTCTTTGGATCCATTATGGAAGACACTCACTGAGGTAAATACCTATAAACACAAATTGTCTAATCTTTATTGATAATGAAGCCATGTAATAGGCTTTGTTTATAAATAAAACTTGAGAATATTAAACATTATATCCAAACTGCAGTTCCAAATAATTATTGATAAGTAAAAATAACATTCACATTGTGATGATGTAGTAAATGAATTAGGAATAATTATTATTCACTTAGGTACGTGTATTTGTAAAAAATAAAATAAGTTTAAGAAGTAATAAAACATATAATAGGTATAGGATGAATAATGTAAGAACATTAAGGGCCACTTTCAAAAACTACTTTAAACTTCGATTACGCTTAATCGACTGATAACAGATATTTAACCGGCCAAATTCGGCCGACTAAACCCCGGTTTAACTTTAATCGAAGATTAAAGGAGTGGTGAAAGCGGCCCTAAAATGTAGTAACTTAAAACACCTGAATACACCACACTTAAATACGTTTGCAGAACACAACACGATTGGACACCCTGAAATCTAAGAGCGTTTGAAGATCATATTTTTACAAGATTCATTCGATTTCTCATGTAACGATTTTTATGAGAGTTTGAAGTTCAAAAGACATCTTTACGACATTGGATATTTACTCGATTTCTCATATAGTGATTTTTCATATTTTGTTGTAATTCAAGACACTTGAGATTTATATCAAATGTTTATTTTATCAATTCCTATACTTGATAAAATGTTAAAAATATTTTGACTTGTTTTAAGCTGTTTACGGACAATTTTAAATTTCAATTTTTTTAGTTTTTTTTCTATAAATATCACAACATTTATCAAATTCAAAATAAAATTTTGTATATAGTTAAAAATGTATAAAATGTTTAGCTTTTATCGTTAAGGATTGAATACTTACAACAAGGATCCACGTAAGTAGGTTATTGAAAATTTAATAGAAGGCTCCTAGTATATTGTTTCAAAGGCAGATGAAAAATATTAAAAAACCTTAGTCACAATTTTTTTTTATAAGTATTTAAAGTTCAAACCTTGACAAAATACGTAAAAATGACGAAAATTAACAAATTATTTTGAGTTGAGAATTCAAAAAAAATTTTCTTTTTAAATCTAAGATTTGAAATTGTAATACAAGATTACTCATAAGTCTATCTACCTTTATCAAAATAAAAATGTCTACAAGCAAATCAAATTAAATTTTTATGATTGTTTGAAGTTCATAATTTTTACAATATTGGATATTCACTCGATTTCTCATGCAGGTAAATATATAAATTACTTTATTCACAATAATATCATCAAATATACTTTGTAATATCAAAGGCTCACTGACTGTTTTCGCTCAGAATTGTATTTCTTATACAATGATACTATATCATTGAATTCAAATTTAAAATCATCCATTATCCAGTGACCCACTTGAAACCTACTGTACATCAGAGCGACATCCATTTACCCACCTTTTTTCAATTGTAGTTAAGACTGTTATTAATTTAGTTATTTATTATTTATATAATATTTTAAAGAGTACTGCAGTGGTAATTTATTGTGTTTTGCTTTAATTCTGCATAAAATCTGTATACTTTTACTCCTCTAACAGGTAGTCAACGCGATCTAGTGGTGAACCTAACTCGAGTATATGTAGTATATACATTTTCAAATAAGGGGGTTGGAGCATGATTAATTTTCGGTCAAAAACATAGCTCACGACATCAATCACTACTCCCAATATAATGTTTTGATATTAATTTTGAAAGCAGATTTGAATTCATCACTAAATTATCTATGCTTTGGAAATTTTATTTTTCTGATATTTATTTTTGTTTACTTAGAAAGAAATTTACCAACAAAAAGAGTAAAGATAGATCATATTCATAATTCAAATTTAAATACATTGATATAGAATATGAAAAATGTATGATAGTATCAAAGCATAGTCAATTTAGAGGATAATTCAAATCTGCTTTCAAAATTTAAATCGGAACATCCTAATGAGCCTATGTTTCTAATTTTATAAAGTAATATATGGTGCATGTGCATGCTCGTAGGTAAAATAACAGACTTACATATTCACTACGATGCCAATATACAACGTGATCGGTACTACGAATTACACACACTAATGTTCATTTACTTTAAACACATTCACAAGACCCATATGAACTGAAATATAAAATGCCTAGTTTTTACTCCTTAGAATGGATAGCCGCCATCTCGACCGTCGTTTTCCGTGAATTTAGCAGCAGTAGACCTCGTGCAGATTGTAAGTAAGTGTATAATTTAACTCTAAAGTATCAAAGTTATACCAAGTTTGTCGTTTTCACCGAATTCAACCTACGGCGGATTAATACAATCAATTAATATGAAATCTTAACCTAACCTAACGATGAATAAAAAAAAAACAAATTTAACTCTTTGTAAATTAACCTATCTTCTTCCCAGAGGTCTAATCTACCCACAAACATTAATTTATATATATATAACTATATAAATACAGAGACTAAACTCTGGAACTATTATATATATATGTATATTGAAAAAAGATAATAATACAAATCAACAAACATGCCCTATTAACCAATAGCAACCAATATATAAATTTATAATACAATATTATTATTTTAATCTGCAACAATAAACTAAATTTAATATTATTTAGTTTATTTTTTTCTAGACAGATGGCGCAACTATTGTATTTTTAATATTTAGATTTTCTACTTTTCCGGTGGATCTTCTTAACATTTTCTTCCATATGAACCTTGTCTTGAAAATTACGAATACAACAAAAGAATCGGTCTAGCCACGACCAAGGGAAGTAGGATCCATTTATATATATATATACATATACATATATACTAGATTACATTGTGTTTTTCTTTTGTACGATGGTGGTTATTTTTCCTTCATTATCTCGGGAGAATCAATTCAATTTTTAATGATTGTATCATATAGTTCCAGCTCATAATATTGCGGTCACTTATCGATTTAACCCACACACAATCACTAATATCGAAAGATTATTTTTTGTCTTCCGTTCATTTCATTTTCTTGTTGGTTATAATATAATATGTTAAGAATAAATTACAATATTAAAATTGTATAACCCTTTGACTCTATTTGACAACGGATTAATATACTACACCGTCGATTAAAATTTTTAACTTTATAATGTTAATTTTTTTTGTTTTATTCATTAAAAAGCCTAAGCGATCAGCGTCAATATCATAACAAAAATATCAATGAGGTGAAAAAGATTAGTTTTGTAGGTTTCAAAATATAATAATATATATTTTGCCTTCATTGTAATTTGTAGGTACATACATCAAGTAAAATAATGACATTATATAAGAATTTATTAGTTATTATAATTATGTGCATCATAGTCATCGTATTGATCTTTGTACAAGTATAAATAGCTATACATAGATTATAGTTGGTATGTATAAATATTATAATTATACCATACAATTTATTATTATACAGAGGCTAATCATTTTAGCAGTCAGTTGCGGTTTTGAATCACAATAACATAATATAATTTAAAATTTATAACATCATATAAATATTTGTAAATAAGTCTATATTTTATCACAATGTTTTTTAAGATTAATACTTATTTTTGATAACGATAACATTATTTTGAATTTCACATTGCCTTAACAATTATAATTACTTATTGAAATAGAATATCATATTAAAACGCACGTATACATACATCATAAATATAATATATAGAGTGATATAGAGTATAATTATAATTTTTAATTATAATTTAATGATTCCTATACCGAGTGAACGGTGTGGTCCGGGACAGTTTAAACATACAAATGGTAAAAAAGCACATATCTCAGCCAAATCGATACAAAATATTAAAATACTTAATTACTATATAAACCTATTACCTTTTTACAGCACATAGACTTTCACTGGTCATACTTTGATCAAGAACATTAAAGGCTGCAGGATACGTATAATATAATATATTCCCGAACAATGGTTCAAGTCACCGAAGAACGATTTTTCAGCACGTCCATCCTGCAAGCTCACCACTATATAGTGTTACGCCAAAGATCGTGAAAATATGTTTGATACCTGGGTTTACCGTCAGTCAGATCCATTGATCCACCTGTTGCAGATTGCTGTGCTGTCATAGAGATCACGCTTTCGTCGTGGGGGGGGGGACGTTATGTGAAATGTATAATATTATATAGTCTGACGCCGGATGTGGTCAATATTACAGGTTACTAGGTTAGGTCGACTTAACCGATCAGTTCGATGTGGATCTGTTCGCGGCTCTTGTTGTTGGTCTCGGGCACGTAGAACAACACGAACAGGAACCCGGCGGCAGAGAACACAGCGAACGTACACCACAACAGAACGGGGTTCGCCTCGACGAAGATCTTAAACGTTTTCATGATGACGAACGACAGGGACCAGGAAAAGGACGCGGCCATGGACTGTATGCGGCCGCCGTACAAGGCCGGTGACAGCTCGGTGCTTATGAACCATGGAATTGGTCCAAGGCCCAACCGGAAGGCGGATATGAACACGCACAGGACGAACAGCAGGGATATCCTCCATGGCGATTGCACTAGCGTTTCTACATACATAATAATATGGTAGGCATTAAGGTACTGAAGGCACTAGGTATTTATATGATTTGTATTGTCCCGATATTAAGCATAATGTTTGGAGGTAAACGTTCTTCATAGAAAACATAAATCAACGACGACTCTACCAGATTTCCAGAATCCGAAAATCTCATATTATATAGTCTGCATATTGCGTTATTATATGACATACATGTCGTGGCAATCGTAACATTCGGTTTTGAATTCCGATTCGACGTGGCGTTTCAGAATAATACTGGCTACATTTCTAAACGAACCAACCACAGCAAAATATTTCACTCACCTTTTTCTATAAGGCTGAAGTAAACAACCAAGAGGACGAGACATGCTGTAATCACCGCGGACGAGGTCAACAGCAGAGTCCTCCGTCCGACCTTGTCGACCAACAGGAACGACACCCCGGAAGCGACCAGTTGGAATGAGCCGACTATGATGCACGCCGTGTTTGGATCGATGGTGGATCCAGACATTTTGAATAATGTGGAAGAGTATTGGATCACACCACCGGCGCCGGACATCCGCTGAACGAGCACCAGGCCGAAAGAAATAATCGTCACCTTCGCCAAGAATTTCCTGAAACCATTTGCAAATCCTTATTAAAATTATTGTAAAAAAAAAATGAACGTACGTAAGTTATCAATTATTTTTCTAAAGTTTGAGTTAATTATCTTATATAAAAAAAAATGTAACCAAACTTATTGGATAATGTTAATTTTAAAATACTAAACCATCTCGAAGGTACAATATTGCAATTTGCATTGTTCAGCAACAAGTTTTTTTGGGAAATTTAATTTATCATGATAAGTTTCTTTTTTTGTTCAATAAGTTGGTACTTTTCTTTATTTTTTATTCTTTGTATATTTATAATTAAATATTACCAACATTTTATCGTACGCAAGCTGCGAACACAGTAATAACTAATAACACACTAATAATACACTACCTAATACTTGTAATAATTACAATTTAACAAATTACATTAAATAAAATATAACAAATTTAAGGTATAAGGTGATTCAATGAAGCATTAGTCGATAACGAAATGAAACAAATAATAAATAGGTAAAGTCGTGAAATATAAATACCTAATGAAATATTGATATGCGTCTCGAGTACACGAAATGGAGTGTCCCCAATGGGTAGTACGACAACTCGAGATGCTGCCACCTTGATTTCAGATATCATAATAATTTCTCATTAAAAAGTTCGCGAATTTTCTTTAATTTGCAAAAGAATCATCTGCACAATTTGTCTAAGATTTTTCAATATATTATGTATTTATTTATTCTGTAGATAAGTTAGGTCCGGTTAAAAAAAACACCAATTTGTACATTGTTTAAATGGGTAACTCCTGCTTCCAGATAATAATATAATATATAGTATAATAATGTTATAGGTATATACACAACTGTCGTGCCGCCGTTATATTTTTTTATTACTTACCTATCTCGCGCCAGACAAACGCTGGACAACAAATAATAAATAATACTAAACGTAAATTGTAAAAAAATATTAATTACTTGTTTACGGCACTCATCTTACTACCACGGTCAAATAACTCATCGTCGAGACATTTTGATGACTCTATTTGATCGAACTCTTTTTTAACATTGAACCACCTACCCCTTAACCATCTGTAAACAACAATAACTATAGTTTAATAATATATAATACGTAAATTCAAAATAATTGGTTTAACTTACTCTAACCTAAACTTGAAATTTGTATTGGATGAATAGTGGCTTTAAGTTATAAGTAATGTGATATCTAAATATTATCTACTTTTTTGAATTTATTTCAGTTTACATTTATTAAATTATTATATTAATCATAGAAAAAACAATTTAATTTAGTATAGGTAGGTATTATAATCTGAATCATTAATATATTATATTGTTAATAAGTAATAAGTATTTATATTTTAAATATTAGACGAGTGGAAAGAAATAGCTTGTCGAAACTTTAAATGCTCAAAATATATCAAAATATATACCTAACCTAACCTAATATATAATATATCCGAAAATTATAAAAATATGATTAAAAAAAAAATTTTCAAAAATTAGACAAAATGTTTTTTTTTCAACATCACTAAAAACTAACTGGGAAAAGGTGAGTGAGTACTATAAAAATCATACACTCACCTGGCAACTATTAAAATTCATAGTTTAAAGTAACTGACCTCAGCGCCGATGCCGCTTGTTCATACTGGCCGACGTTGTACAGGTGGACAGGCGACTCGGGCACGTACGCGAACAGCACGACAAACATTACCGGCACGACAGCACAGGCCAGACAGAACTGTCGCACTCCGTCCAACACCGCCCTGGCCACGTAAGCATATAGTATGCCGGCGCACAGCATAAAGTCCAGAAACACCCCTGTGCGGCCACGCAACACGTCCGACGACACCTCCCGGGCGTAAAGCGGCACGGCCACGGTGGTCGCTCCCACCGATATCCCACAGACGAACCGTCCCAAGCACTCCAGGAACAACTGTAAATCCCCGAATACGTTGTACACACGATTCCATATTTTTGTAGTTGTGGATTTTTTAATTATTGTGCGTATTTGCAGATATTTTAAGTATTTATAGGTGCAGGTGTTTTCCAACGGATGGTCAGTTCGGCTTTTACGTCCACACGGACAAGACTAAAATAATTGACTCGTCACATTTTCAAAATTTAATTTTCATCTCCCTGAAACTAGGTATAAGTAGGACGTATCATAGGTATACTCTAACCTACCTATGCTGGGAATAGGTGAGTAGAATGTACGTAACATCATATAATATTGATAAAACGTCTTGTTTATTGTATTAGACCCAAGCATATTCATTTTTGAAATAAAACGGCACAACAATCAATTAATATGCAGTCTATTTGATTAGTAAATGGAAGAAAATGGTATTTACGTAAATTAGGTATACTTAATTTAATATACTTAAAATGCTAATACCTATACCTGGTATACAAAACCATTAACCGCAAACACGTTGTCGTTAAATGTCAACACGATTTTTGTCTCGAATTTAACAACTTTCAACTATCGGAATAGATTTGTGCGTTCAAAATTAATTTACATAATATGTACCTAATACCTATTGTATTATCATTATTTCGAATTATTGTTTTTTTCGTATAATCGCATAGGTAACCAAAATATATTGCTCGAGTGAAATTATATTGAAAATTAAACCATTTTTTCCATAGCGTATGACGTAGTATATTGACGTACTAGGGTAAATACGGTACATTAATATTATTTTGTATGTATATATGGGTGAAATTTCGACGTTGTAATGGTTATGATTTATGAGTTATGACGGTGGAAAACGATTACGGAAATTAGTAGGTAATTATGATTACAAAAGTCTTAAAAAATGCGTTATTAAACTGTATTTAGAATAATTGCAAGTGCGTCAATTATAACTCAGAAGCACCTAAATAACCTGTATATGTTAATATATGGTAATATTATATTTTGTCATTATAATAGAATAATAACCGTGAACCACATTATTTACGTTATTGTGTCAACTTCTAAATTTTTTTTACACTCAATAACTCGATAACAATATGTATACACGGTTGACTGGACTTTTGGTCTCACCTATAGGTGCTGCTTTTAATCTCGTTTAAACATGGAACTAAATTATTACGAACTGTGCGTTAACATTCTCTAAAATATTATGAATAATTATTTGATAGGTATAACGTATTATTATATAATAATATTATATGACATATACCTACCTACATCACGCCGATGCAAACCAGAAATATTTCATATTTCTACTAAAATACTATTAGTGTGTGTTACAAATCGTAAATCACGTCGCACCCGAAAAAAAGCGAAGCGCACTGTAGTTGGGTCCATCAATTAAAGCGGTAAAGTGTATACCAATATTGGGTATCAGGTCTATACCAGGTGGGTCCCGACTCCCGAGTTGATTTTGATAGTATACCTACTCATCGGACCACTTATGCAAAATGTTGGTAGTGGCGTAGTATGTATATGATTATGGATAATAAGAGTTACCTAAATGTGTTTTTTTTTATACTTTTATCAAAACATTTATTGTTTTTTACAATATATTTTAAAACTGTCAGTATATCGTGTGTCATATCAAGACCTATACAAGTTTTCAAATCAAACACGGCAAGCCGTTAGTTTTGCTTTGACAAAATTATCATCTAAGTCATACTCACACTCTCCAACCGCAACAGACATAATACCCATCCGGCAATCATGGGGGCGGCCAGCCAGAGCAGCAGTGTCTTGCGCCCGTACTTTTGACCCAAAAAGCCGGCAGGTAAAGCTCCAATCAGTGCGCCGACCACGTAAATCGATATGATCCACGATTCCTGTTCGGTGGACCACATCTTCAAATCTTCGTCTTTGAAACTTCCTTCGGTCGGGGACCATCCAGCGATGACTGTGCCCGCCGACAGCGACATCAACGAGGCTAGACATAACGTTATAATAACATAAGATGTACGATATTGCTATAATGGTTTTAACTGGGGATTGCAGGTCGAACTTGAATTCTCACAAACTCGAACTTAATTTTCTTCTCTTAATCTTATTCTTAATAAAATTATCAGATATTTTGTTGTTCAAAAATATAAACTAGAACATTATTTAAGTACGAGTCTCATATATAAATATAGGTACAAATGTTTTAAAATGTTACCTAAGAAGCACGCCAACAGTTGTCGGCGACCAGATTTTGCATCCTCCTCCACGGTTGTTCCGATAAGTCTATCATTTTCTCTGAACCTCTTTCTATCCATATTTATCCTTTCATATATAATATATTTTATAATGATAGACGGAACATGTTATGAACGTTGATGTTTTAAGTTTCTTGGAATACAGCCTGAAACATAGAAACATTTCCATAAACAGAGTGTGTAACAGAGTTAAGGGGCCTCGCTAGTCATTGTTTAAGGGGCAACATTTAGGCAATTTCTAATCTTGTCATAGCCGCCCGGGATCTATGTGTTAGTTGTAAATGATTATTAGTGTGAGTGAAATTAAATGAGGCTATATCCTCTCTCGTACGAGCATACACATGTCAATAACTCGATAACCATACAAATTTCAAAACACGAATTTTACAAAAACATACATTTGTTTTGACAAAATTAAAGTTAGTTAACGTTGTCTGATTTGGATTCTGAAAAAATATTTGATTTCAGCAGAAAAATGTCTGTAGATCGTACCAAACATTTTCCGTTGTTAATATTAATTTTAATTTTAATTATGATTCGAAAAAGTTGATATTTTCAAGTTTTCAATTACAGTTCACAATAATATAAAATTTAGTTTTTACAAAGTGCTTCGTAGGATCTATAGACAATTTTCTGGTGAGTTCAAATTTTTTCTGAATCAAAATCGGACAACGTTAACTAACTTTAATTTTGTCAATACTTTATATCTTTTCAACTAAAATTGACGGCAGTAGCGAGACCTCTTGACATAATTATATAATACAACTGTAATCTTCCATCAACAATTTTAAACTCAAATAGTAAATACCTAAAAACTATTAAAAGGCTCAATAAAAATAAGTAATTCTACTTTTCATGTATTTACATAAATCAGCTTTAAATTATGACTGAATCAAATTTTTAGAAATACAATATAATAAATAGCAAAAAGTTTTAAAAAAATGTATACAAGGACTCCCCAATACTTTCTTAAAAATGTCCACATTAAAAAATGGTAGAAATTATTAAATTTTTATGTATTCATATAAATTATTAAGCAATAATCTGATTTTTTCTTAAAACATAGAAAAAATTAATTTCAGAATTTACAATAAAAACATTAGGCAAAAAGAATCATTTTTTATCAATTATTAAATTAATATAATTAATTAACAAATATTAAAAAAAATTACTCACAATCTTCCCATATTAATACCTTAATGACCATCAGTAATAAAACTAATCTTGGTTTATTTTTTTTGCAATCCATAGGATAGAAAACCTCATGCAATGTTTAATTAAACAATTATAATTGTAATAATGTTATAGTTAATATAATATGATAATAATTATTAAAATGATATCATTTTCATTGATTATTTGAATTTTTATATTTGTTTATAATATATACTTTAATAGGTATACTATTTATATGTATTCTTATAGATTGCCATTATCATTTTGAAGATCATTTTGAAGGTGAATTTTTTTTTTTAGTTAATTGCATTTTTATATTACACTGATATTATTTATTTTTGTACCTAAAACATACTGTTTCAACATAGTCAATTTTTTAACGATAAATCGATGATTGTGTTATAAGTTTTGATGAATTATTGAATTGCTGAATTGTTAACCCTATTTTTTTAATTTGAGTTTACAACTTATACGATAACATAAACATGACAGCCCCCTGCTGACTTAACTTGACTGCAGGAGTAGTAGTTAGCCAACTGTGTTTTTATATAGTACTATTATCTATATTATTAGTGTGTGCCTGTCATAGTTCATAAGGTCTAAGGTGTTTGTCTAATCTGGAAAGTATACAGGCACACAGCGCTCGTATGAATGAATGTTTTATTTTTAATTGGTGCAGTTCCGCTCGTGCAGGCAAATATCAAACAATATTAAGGTCAATATTTTATTTTAAGCTACTAAAAATGATTTATATAATAAAGCTAAATCGCCCAGTAAAACTGCTGGAATTAAGTTGGGGTGGTTTTTAATTTTTATTCATAAACACATTTACTGTGTTTTACCTTGTGAACATTTGATCAATATTCCAAAAACTGTCAAAATATAATACGTATGTGTGTGTGTACATATATATGTCGTAGGCCGTATGGAAAATTAGTCTTTTTGGGAAAACACTAGGCTCTTTGCAATAGGGTAGCCCGTTTGCGATCTACTTATTATTTTTCCAAACGGCCTGCTGCTTTTTTAGGTTTATTGCATACGGCCTAACAGCATTTAGGCCTTTTAAGAAATACAAACATTATAATATGATAACAACCATTTTACTTATTTTACAAATTAAGTTTAGTTTATTTTAAAGTTGTATGTAACATGTAAACTGAATTATTATAAAGTAGGTACTAAAAAAAAAAGAAAATATGTAAAATATTAAATTAAATTGAAATATTAAAAAATAAAAAAAGTATGGTATGTAAAATATTTACTTATTGTTACATGTGGTTTTTTCGTTTTCGTTTTAGTTTATTGAATTGAGAATTAAAACTATAACTTTCAACTTATAAAATATAAAGTGTATTTATTGCTTATATATAAAATCATATCAATCTTATACATTTAAAATTCTTGGTAGGTATTTACCTACATTAGTACATTATAACTGTCTATTTTAAAGATTTAGATACGGATTGGCGACGTTTAATACTTGATGGAATCTACCAGATTATACTAATCAGTATATTAGATAATAACTTTTCACTGTTCACATTATGACGGTATATACTGTACGTTAGTACTTACACCTCTGCATTGTCGTTAAGACGGTCGAACTCGTTTGCATTTCGAGTGCGTTAATACTTCAGAGTACCTTATATAATATTTACTCGTTTATTTAATATCATAATTTTTTAATTATGGAAAATGAAACAGTAGAGAACAAATTTAACAATAAAGTCACTGATTTTTATGAAAAAAAAGTGAACGTTGTAAAACAGCCATGGACGATAGCTACAATATCCGATGCTATTTCTAAAATAGCAGCTGCTGAAATACCAGGAACCATAAAAAACGGTGAGCAATATAGTCTGATTGAAAAATATGATGTTATGAAAGTGGGTGATTCGAAATATTTGGTAAAAAAAAGAAAAAATCCTAATGAGGCAATTATTCAATTAGTAGCAAGCGAGAATTTTTTTGAAATCTTGAGTACGATTCACAAAAATATTAGACACGGAGGCCCTACTAAAATGATGAATGCTTTAAAAGATAAATATTGTATTCCGAAACGTGTTATTCGAATATTTTGTAAGGTGTGCAATGTTTGTAAATTAAAAAAACCTCAACAGCACAAAAACATTGTTGTACAACCTATATCATCCAAAGATCTTAATGTTCGTGGGCAAGTTGACTTGATTGATTTTCAATCGACACCAAGTGGTAGTTTTAAATGGCTCTTGAACTACCAAGATCACCTTACAAAATATTGTCATTTACGTCCATTACAATCAAAAAGAGCTTCAGAAGTAGCATTGGAGCTTCTTAAGATATTTTTGCAATTTGGAGCTCCTTATATTTTACAGAGTGGTAACGGTCGAGAGTTTACCGCAACTGAGTAGAGGAAATGACAAATTTGTGGCCCGAGTGTAAAATTATTCATGGAAAGCCTCGTTACCCGCAATCTCAAGGAAGCGAAGAGGGTGGTAATCAAGACGTAGAGAACATGCTGAGGGCATGGATGATGGATAATCAAAGCACTGATTGGGAAATGGGGTGTTATTTTGTACAATGGCAAAAAAATTGCTCAAAACCTAGTACAATTAACAGAAGCCCTTATAAAGCATTATTTAAACGTGAGCCAAAATTAGGACTTTCTATCAAAAAGTTACCTAATGATATCTCACAGTCGATTAAAACAGAAGAAGATTTAACTAAATTGATTAATACTGAAGTAAGTAAGGAAGTAGATGGCCACGGAGAAGAAGATAATGAAATAGATAAAGAAAATACTAACGAAGATGATAATGATAATGACTGTATAAAGTGCAATTCTAAAGTGTCTACCAAAGAATCATCGTGCGACACATGTGTAAAAGAAAAACAAATTCAGAAAGAAAGAGTAGAAGCATTTGAAGGACAAAAAAAAGCTGCAGAAAAAATGAAACAATCCAGCGATAAGAAATTGGTTATAATTGAAGTTGGAAGTTATGTTTTAGTCAACATTCCAAAGGTAGATCGTGGACCATTAGACACTCAAAATATAATTGGCAAAGTGTTAGACAAAAATAATAATGTATACCAAATTGGTACACGATTTGGCATTATAAACACGTGGTTAAGCAGAAATGTTCTACAAGCAACCGATGCAGAATTTCTTGACGAAGTACCAAATACAATAATAACATTAAGAGAAATAGCGAAGAGACATTCACAATTTGGAGGGCAGGGTTATCAAAAATGTTTTTGCAAAACATCATGCAAAAAATAGATGCTCTTGTCTGAAAATAATTTACCTAGTACCTACTGTATAGTTCAAGATGCCACGAAAAAACCACATCTAACAATAAGTAAAAATTTTACATATTTAATATTGTAACGTAATATTTTTTTAATATTTCAATTTAATTTAATATTTTACATATTTCATTGTTTTTAGTACCTACTATATGTATAATAATTCAGTTTACATGTTACATACAACTTTAAAATAAACTAAACTTAATTTGTAAAATAAGTATAATGGTTGTTATCATATTATAATGATTTTAGTTCTTAAAATGCCTAAATGCTGTTAGTCCGTATGCAATAAGCTTGAAAAACAGCAGGTTGTTTGGAAAAATAATAAGTAGATCGCAAACGGGCTACCCTATTGCAAAGAGCCTAGTGTTTTCCCAAAAAGACTAATTTTCCATACGGTTAGGTCAGGTTAGGTACCTAACCTACGATATATACGTATAAGAAGGTAGTAATTTAGAATGTGTACACATTATATATATTATGTAAATAATAAATCAAACACCTATAAGTAAATACGTAAATATATTGAGCACACATCTTATTTTAACATTACTACATTATTGTTAGATCACGTCATACTGTTTTATATATACTTT